AAATACACAATTTTTAACAAAATGCATACTTTTTGGTCATTGGTTAAAATTTCAGGAGAAATAAAGTACCCATCCTTGGTGTGGTGCTTCAAGCTACAAATGTGACTAAATGAAATATTCTCCCATGGGGGAGTAATATTACCATATGGGGAGGTTAGTTTGGGGCTGAGAAGCAAAATTTTGATTTGGTTAATCTAGTATCAAATATTTTTCTAATATAATGTTGCTGCTGGTGCTCCTAGGTCCAGTAGAACAGCCAGCCAGCATATTTGGATCTTTAAACAGAGGAAAAGGGAGTAGTCTTGATTTCCAGCAATTACTTTTGTCCATCACTTTGAAGTTGTATTAATGGATTTCAGAAGATTCTGTATCCAGCCCATGTGAGCCAGAGGAAGAGTTTATAACACAGGGTCTTTGAGAGGATCGTGAGGCACCTTTTCAAACAGCAATTTGTGGCTATTCTTGAGTCTTGTATGGGAAGTGTGTGAGAGACAACATTTAAGCTTAATATCACAATTCCTTGACACTCATTAAACATGTCTTGACTCATCAGAGATGAGTGGTCAGATGGAGAATTAGCAACGTGCAACTTGTCATGTAAACGCTCTCTTAGACCTTTCTTTTGATGGGAGGAGTATTTAATCATGTTTTATCTTGTTTGTTCTAATATGCCTTTAACACAACTTTAATCTAAAATACCAAATTCCTCAATTTAGTACAGACTGTCTCAAGTTACGAACCGGTTACGGACCAAGCAATTGGTCGTAACTCGGTTTGTTCGTAAGTTGGACCCCATTGAGTTACACGTGACCGCACTGTTCGGAAACACGGATCACGTTCGTAATTCGGGGTCCGCCATTTACGATATTTTTGGTCGTAACTGTGAACAGTCGTAAGTCGACCGTTCGCAACTCGGGGACTGCCTGTATAAGTTGTATTAAATTTGTGTTTTGTAGTCTAGGCTTAAGGGACAGGTGAGTCCCAATTTACTGCAAACAAAGTCTGTTGCAGTCAATTCTGGTTAATCCTCTACTGCAATCTAGGGATGTTAAACATTGGTTAATTGAATAGTCAGATAACCTCACGAATTTTAGTCGACTGTAGTCCCCGGGGGCGAAGCTAGCAGCCACTGTATCAGAGAGTATGTCTACCTGATACATAGATTTTGAAATAACTAGCGTTATTCCAAAATAACTGCCTGCTGTGTAGATGAGGGCTAAATTATTTCAGAATAGTGTCAAAATACTGTCAAGCTGGAGGACAACTTACTTCGACTCCTGTAACCCTCATTGTACAAGGAATAAGGATAGTTGGAGGAATAGTGTTCTATTTCAAAATAAGTGCTATGTAGACACTCCCTATATCGAAATAAGCTACGCAATTGACATAGCTCATTTTGCATAGCTTATTTCGAGTTAAACCCTGCAGTGTAGATGCACCCAGAGGCAGCAGTGCAGGGTTCCAGGTAGGAGCTGGTTCACGAGGGGAGCCAGTTTAAAAAACAGCTCCCCTCGTGGTCTGTCTGCCTATCGCCCTGTGATGCTCCCTCTGATAAAGAGGCAGAAGCTTGGGGTGGCAGTAGCCCCTGTCTAAGGCGGGGGAGGAGGGTGTGTGAGCTCCTGGGTCCAGCATGAGCTGGAACTTTACCAGGCTGCCTGTCCACCTGGCTCCTAATACACTTTAAATGCAGAGTCACAGCAGGGTTAGGTTCTGAACCTGGTGCGAGCCAGAACTGAGCCGGGCATTGCAAATGCTGTCCCAGCATTGCAAAGCAGCAGAGCTGCATGGTGCCCAAGGTCAGCTAGAGATTCCCTAGCTGACCCCGGGCTCCCTGAGGCATTTCCACGGAACCCGGAGTCAGCTGGGGAGTCCCAGCTGATCCTGGGCTCTGTGTGGCACTACCGCTTTGAAATGCCATGCGGAGCTCGGGGTCTTCTGAGGAGTCCCTAAGTCTCCAGCTGATCTCGGGTTCTGGGGAATTGCCATAAGGAGCCCGGGATCAGTTGGGGAGTCCCCAGCTGACCGTGGCTCCGCGTGGCATTTCAAAGCGGCAGTGCCACATTGATCCCGGGGTTAGCAGGGGACTTGGAGTCCCCACTGATGCCAGGCTCCATGCAGGCGCTTCCACTTGAAATGCACAAGAGCCCTAGCGGGGGCTCTCGTACATTTCAAGGGAGGAACGTGGAAGTGTCTATCAACTAGTTGAGTAGTCGATAGAAATTCCATTGACTACTTGACTAGTAAATTAATAGTTATTTAACATCCTTAGGTGAAGTGGCTGGGTACACGGGGTACTCGATAGAAATTCCATTGACTACTTGACTAGTAAATTAATAGTTATTTAACATCCTTACTCAGGTGAAGTGGCTGGGTACATGGGGTATGAGAGTGAGATGGTGTAAGGAGGTGCATAGGACAAGGGGGTGAGATTTGCAGGAGTCAGGGCAGGGAGTTGGAAGAAGAGGGAGCTCAGGAGTAGGGTTGGCCACAGGCTTCTTCCCAGGGCAGCAGGGTCCATGCACTCTACTCACCGGCTTGTTCTTGTGGGCTGGCGGGGGCCTTTTTCTCGAGCCTGGGGTGCGGTCAATAGTTTCTACAACAAAGTACTTTGTAATAGCCCAATGGCATAGTTCTTCAGACTAAATAGGCTGTACTCTGAATTTGAATATAGTCTGAGATGAGCCTTAAAAAGGCATAAAATGAATTGCTTGAGCCATCTAAAGCAAAAGCAACACCAAATGTAAAATTATTGCACCAAAGAATAGGATTTTATGCACAAAAAACCCTTAATTTGTGTCAGTTTATGCCAACTTTCTTAAATAATTTACTCCGGTAAAAAGAAAATGGTCTGTGTTCTCAAGTGATGCAGATGAGTTTGAATAAAACTCACAGTTGCATTTGAATGGGTAATGATAAAATAGGTTTCCAAAATATCCTAACTGAAATCTCTTACCACTTAATGTTCTGGTGACATGTTTTATGTTAAGTTGCATTTTAATTTTAGTACTGTTTGCAGATGGAATTATGTTCTATTTTAATAGTTTAAAGCATAGATTTCCAGTACTAATATGATGCATATAGCTCTTCAATCCAGCTGAGATGAAATTTCCATCAACTACTTGACTAGTCAATAAGCCCTTATGTGTTCCACCTTTGAAATGTACATGAGCTCCAGCAAGGTCCTTGAAATGTACATGAGCTCCAGCAAGGGCTCTTGTACATTTCAAACTTGGAAGTCCACATTGAGCCCAGGGCCAGCAGGAAGTCCCGCTGACTCTGGGCTCCACGCAGGTGCCTCTGCTTTGAAATGCACAAGAGCCCCCGCTGGCAGTCCTCATGGTGCTCGGGATGAGCTTGCCTCTGCTTTGAAATGCACAAGAGCCCCTGCTGGCAGTCCTCATGGTGCTCGGGGTGGGCATGGGAGTCCCCCAGCTGATCAAGGCTCCACCCTGCATTTCAAAGCAACAGAGCCACACTGAGCCTGGGATCAGATGGAGAGTTCCCAGCTGACCCCGGGCTCCACCCAGCATTTCAAAGCAGCAGCGCCACTTGAAGCCTGGGATCAGCTGGGGACACCCCAGCTGGCCCTGGGTTCTGTGCAGGGCTGCTGCTTTTAAGTACCCCCTTCTTCTCCCCCTCCCTTGCTGCCTCTATTTGATAGAGGCAGCAAGGGGAGGTAGCAACTAGTCAACTGGTCCTTTACATCCCTAGTTAAAACTAGCTGAAGAACAGAGACAGGGTGAATTAGAATATATGTAGACTTAAGTGTAGTGCTTAGTCTATAAATCTTCCCTGCAAAAATAGGTTTAACTATGAGTTGCATGAAAACAGTCAGCTATGTTAGTAATAATTATTTGGAGAGCCCTGCATGGATATAAAATTGGTATCCAAATCTGCAAAAATGATCTGCAGATATCTGAAAATTTTGTGGTTCTAGATACAAATTTTGTATCTGCATTCATATCTGCAAAAATGAGCAACGGATATTTCCATATCTGTGGATGCAGATACAGCTTTTGCTGCTTATATCCGGAGATTTGCAGGGCTCTAATTATTTGCACTACTCAAATTAGAAAATGGTAAACTAAAAATGTAGTGATTTAGACTGTAAAACAGCTATTTTCCTTCCACCTCAAAATATTACAAAGTGAGAATCCCAGTTTTCCCACATATGTAGAATAAACTGTTGAATGTACATGTGAGCGTACAAACGTCAACTCCAGCAAAATATAGCGAACTTAGTTGCAAAGCATACAGATAGTTTATACTTTTATAGCATGGTTCTTTAAATTTGTGGGAAAACAAGGGGCCTGTCTCAAGGAGCTGATAATTCATAGATCTGTGAATGTATAATCTAAATTGGTTTAGGGATGTTGACCCAACATTTTAACAGGTTAAGTGATTAAACAGGAGCCGGACAGGGGATTGCTCCAGCCCAGCTGCAGAAGCACTCCTTCTGTGGGGCTCCTGCTCCCAGCCCTATGCTGGGGCTGCTCCCAGCTCTCAGATCCTGTCTGGGACAGGACAGGCTTCCTGCAGACAGAGCAGCCCCCACCTGTGGGGCACCCGGGCCCGCTATTCCTGCAGACAGAGCAGCCCCCACCTGTGGGGTGTCCGGGCCCGCTACGGAATGGCTGTTTCAGACCAGAGCAACACATGGGGAGTTACTCCAGCCCTTACCAGTTAACTGGAACCTGTAAGCCTCACTTGTTAACCGGTTGCCATCACCCTTAACATTTCACATCCCTAGATTGGATATATCCCAGTTATTGAAACTTTGATGTAAGGGGTAACAAACAGTAATGGAGAGGAGATTGGTATTGGACAGCCAGCTGAAAGAAGTGAGATTTGTTTGGGAAGAGGAAAAGGAAATTGCTTGCCATCTGGCTAAAGGGAGGTTATTCCAAGCTGAAGGGGCATTGGGGGGAGGGGAGGGAAGGGAAGGCATGAATTGTAAGTGGGGGGAAAAACAAAGGGAGTATTAAAGAATGGAATTTGTTTGGTTTGGTGGGGTGGGGAGGTAGAGTGAAGTTGTGAAGCTATGTAGTGTGGATTTGGAGCTTAAACATGATACATATGAAGGGATGCCTGTTAGGGGATTTTAAAAAATAGTATGAAGGAGGAGAATGACTTTTATTATTTCTAGTTACTCAAATCAAGACTATTAAGTTGAAGATATTTAAGTCTACAGTTAACTTAAGGGAATGAGGGGAAAAGAAACCTGACATTCTTGTCTTCTCTGTTTGTTTATGCACGTTTTTTTCTGCCATCAGTGGGTGTTATCTGAATTCACCATGTTCGTCGTCTTTCTGCATGTAAGTGATAAAACATTAAGTGAGGTTTTCATTTCACTGCTTTTAAAGACCCATTTGGCTGGCTCAACAGGTTCCTGGGTGGAGTTACAGATGAACAGCAATGGCAATAGCAACGATAATGCCAGTGGGAAAAATGGAGGCCTGGAACATGTCCCATCATCATCCTCTATTCACAATGGAGACATGGAAAAAATTCTTCTGGATGCCCAGCATGAATCAGGACAGAGTAGTTCAAGGAGTAGTTCCCACTGTGACAGGTAAGGAAACACAGCCATATCACATCTCTTGAAGTACTCGCTTTCCCATGTGTTATGTGATGCAGTTTCCATTCTTGATGCTTTAATCAAGGACAGATTTTATTAGCTTTATATTTCTGCATCTATGAGTCAGCCAAAGTGCCATATGGAATACTTGCTGAATCTCACTAGCTTTAAACTGTACAGAAGTTGGTTTGTTTGAAAAACAAATAGTTGTTAAAATTAAACAAAAAACAGGAATAAAACAAATTGCATCAACATCAGTGTGAAATCTCTTATTAGCGTTGTTCAGTGACACAATAACTGGTTCATGATCATTTAAAAGAAGGTAATAGGTAAGAAAAAGGATCCTATGACTGAAAATTGTATTCACTATGGTGAAAATATAATAAATTGCCTTTGAAAAACTGATAAAGTAACTTACTCAGTATTATCTCTATGCTAAAAACAGGACTTTAAAGACTAACAAGATGGTTTATCTGATCTGAGGAAGTGGGTCTGGCCCACGAAAGCTCATCACCTAATAAACCATCTTGTTAATCTTTAAAGTGCTACATAGTCCTGTTTTTTGTTTCAGCTAGACCAGACTAACACGGCTACATTTATATTACTTATCTGTGTACTGTGTGTCCAGGCAAGAATAAATGCACAACTGTGATAGCATAGACTACAAGCTCCCTCCTCCTCCCACAGACAAGGTACTGGGGAGGAAAAAAAAGTATTTTTATATGAAAAAGCCCTTTTACTTTTTGCCCTTAAAGACAATATGTATTTATTAATGTCAGATAAAATAATCTTGCCTGTCATGTCAAAAAAAGAGAGAACTCTTAATGTTTCACTGTAGTTCTCCTTCAGAATTTGTTGAAGTGTTAAGATGCCTTGGGCATCCCTTTCCTGTTTTCTTGTATTGCTGGACAAATGCTCGCTTCTTGCTGTATCAAGTACATAACATTTATATCAAGCTAGATCAGATGTACAGTGAGTCTGGATGGAACGTGAAATTAACTTGGTAATTTTATTATTAAATTATCAAGTGTAATGAACAAGAAGAGTTAAAAAAAAAAAGATTTCTTTAAAAAAAAACCGTGAAATTAACTTGGTAATTTTATTATTAAATTATCAAGTGTAATGAACAAGAAGAGTTAAAAAAAAAGATTTCTTAAAAAAAAACAAACCCTACTCTCTAACTAAAAATCAAACCGTTTGCTATACCTTTATCGCTGAGAAATCATAAGCTGCCACTAACTTGCATAGTTTGTCACTTTCCAGTTCAACTAGAAACATTTGCTTGGTAGTGGCTGTAACTTTTTTGTTTTCATGCTTAGCAAGGTAAGGACTTGTTCTCCACCTGCACCTTTTATTCCTCCAGAATTTTTAATTTAAATACTGTCAGATTAAAAAAATCTCAGATGAAGACAAATTCCGTTCTTTTTTTCTCAGCCTGTAGCATAAAACATTTGTAGAAAGGAGTGATATTGGCTGTAAGCCACCTATTGAGTAGTTTAAAGGAAAAGTCTTGATACCGGTGTAATTTGCTATTTTTATTCATTATCCGTCTTTTTAATGAGCTAAAATCAGTTTAAACAAGAGTGTCTAGAATTTTGATGCAATCAAATCTTCTCTCTGAATCACACTGTATCATCCTGATTTTAAGTTTTCTAGCATTTTTCCCCATCTGGATTTGAATGTTGCTAATGGGTTTCTCTTTAATAAAGTGTACTCAGGTTTTAATATTGAAAATAAAAATATTTATTCCTTTGGCTTAATTTACTAACTATTAAAAGAGATTTTGGTGTGTCACATAGTGCCTCCTCGAGAAATTCCTTAGTGTACTGTGCAACCTCATTCAGAATTTCCTCCTGCAGATACAGTCCTTTAAGCAGCCACTTTTAAAATACCCAAAAAGTTTTATTCAAACTCTTATTAGGGATCCACCTTTTCGGTAACCAGATTTTGCTAGAGTGTTGGCTGACTGTTTAAGGAGGTTAATTTTACTATAGATCAGTAAATGTCCCAGTGATCAGTAAGTGTAACAGTAACAATGTATTGCCTCACAGAGGATGAGAGTACGGGACTCCATTTTGGTCTTTTGTGCCAGGGCTGGAGTTACAGCGGAGTCAATGTGCTGATGCTTCACATCACTTTCTGATTAACTGAGAAGTAGTTGGTGGGGGGAGGGCAGGAAATGGGAATAAAATAGGAACAAACTGGAAATATGGGAAATCTTTGGAGCTCGGAGGATTTTTCCTTGACAGACATAATGATATTAAGGATAGAAGAATCCTTGTTTTTCATTTCCAATTTTCTACATACAAGTTACAGATATAATTGAACTAATAAACTCATACTTAAGAAATCCCAAAGTGATAGTAACATCATCATTCTTTCCTTTAGCCCTTCCCCTCAAGAAGATGGACAGATAATGTTTGATGTGGAAATGCACACGAGTAAGGACAATAGTTCCCAGGTATTTTCTCCAGTAAATTCTAAAGTACATGACACATTGTCTAGGAGAGCAATGTTTAAGGCTTAGTATTGTCTGTCGTAAATAGACAGTTTCATATCAAGATGAGGCAAAAAAAAATAGTGAAGCATGCTAGAGAGCTGCAGTCAAATATTTAAAATTGCAAACTTTGTTCCATGCTTTCATGGATGAAGAACAGAAATCAAATTCATTATGTACTTTAAAGGAATAAGAAATATACAGCTTTAAACTGTTAATGTCCAGCAATGCATTATTAATGTAGTATGGAAACAGCTGAGTATCCAATAATATTCTTGGCCTTCAATTCAGTACAGGTATACTCTACTTATCGAAAACCCGTTTATTCAAAATCTGGAAATGTCCTTTAGTCTTTTGGAATAATGATACTTACTTGTATTGTGCCATATTCTTTGTACAGTATCATTTAAAATTAAGGAAACATTTTGACTAGAACTGTGTAAACAAAATTATCCCTTTTTGCTTATTGTAAATATTTGATAAGTCATTAAAGCTTTTGTATAGTTAAAGTTACCTATGTTTTAATAAACAGAAGGAGAAAGTTATTTGTGTTTAAATTCAAGTAGTGGGGAAGAGGGGAAAAGTCTAGTTACAGTATTTGTTGTATTTATAAAACTTGGGCTTCATAAAAATTGAAATTTCAAATTTTGAGTGGAAGAGACTATCAAGCACCAATCCTGAATTTGAAATAATGTTATTGAATGTATGTATGGTAGTAAGTTATCAGTTGTCAGGACTACTGCCTAAGAATTCAAGTTAGCCATTCCATAGTTAGTCAGCTCACAATTCTTAGTAATGTGAACACCACCAAATGGAGGGAATTTACTGCTGAATTCTTGGTTTGGTCATTTTATGAATATGCTATACGAGTTGAGACCAATAATGAAAGAATGAACTATGCATTAAATTTTTCTCAGAGGATGGCCAAACAATAGGATTGTCACCCTACTGTAGCCCTATAGAGACCTGTACCACCCTGAGTGAGTTCCTTTGCCTTTTGTTTTGTTGATCAGGGTTGCCATCTCCCTATTACAGTTCAGCACAGATCCCCTTTTTCCACTTGTTTTGGTGCCTCTTTCAACTAAGCTGTACTCCCAAGTACTTTGCTAAAGGCTGAATTTGGTCTGAGGCTCTCATTGAATTCAGCAGGGAGAAGACAGCATGGTAATGTAACACAAACCGCTATTGGCTTGGCAGTTCATGGCACTGGCTCCTCTGGGCTTCTGCATCAGTTATAAAGTAAAGAAAATTGTTTGAGCCCTGGCACCTCTTTCATTACAAATCAAGCACTGCAGACAACTATACTTTCATGAGAGGGAGGCATTAATCTCTGCGGCAGGGACTACAGTGCTTGTACAGTGCCTTCAGTAGTTAGGCCCAGAACTAGCTATGGTCTACTTCAATATACATGTTAAATAACAGTAGTAAAATACCAAACGAGAGATTTGTTTGACATTGACCGTGGTAAAATGCCTGAAAGACTATTTAAAATATTTTTGTACAATTTAGACAGAAATACTGCACTTTTAATTTGATTACATTTGATTTAAGATTTGCTAAAGTTTTAGTGAACATTTAAAATATTTTATGCAACACTAGCTTAGGCACGTTATTGTTAAAATCACCCTTTCGATTGTTCATCTTTCTAGCTTGTAATATATATTTAAATATCATTACAGTGAAATTGCTTAAGTATTTGATAAAATACATTTATCAGAGACACAGAAACATCAGTGGACCCAAATAAACTTTTGATGTAAGAATGCCTTTTCAGTCTTCATTGCCTTTCTCTTCCCAACCCCAACATATGCAGAAACAGACCAATAGAATGAATATTACCAACATCTGCTACTTATTTTCACACTGTAGTTGATGCTCTTAAAATTACTACCATGAAGAATAGCTGAAAAGTGGTGTTACAGGGCATGTCCATGTATATTTTCAGTCTGAAGAAGAAGCAGTAGAAGAAGAGAAAGAGGTGGAAGTTTTGAAGAAAAGTGCTGACTGGGTTTCAGATTGGTCAAGTAGGCCTGAAAACATTCCTCCCAAGTGAGTTGAACCCTTTCCTAATAACCAGTCCTTCTGTAAGAAAGAAAGAAGAATCATGCTGCACATATATGGAATTATTCTGACTCGAAATAGGATCATCACAGAAAAATATTTTGAAGATTTGGGTCTTCCTTGGTGGATAGCATAAAGCCAATAAACACTGCAAAAAATGTAATAGCATAACAGATCTTTTTACTGAAAGCAACCCAACAATAAGCTTAATATGAAGTTACTTTTTCCAATATCAATAACAATTCTTTACTTGCTAGAGCTTGGTATCTGGAGCTAGCATTGTTTAGTAACGGCTTACTGACTGGTGTGGTGTTGGGCAAGTCATCTAAACTCTCTGCATCCTGGTTTCTGCATCTGTAAAATAAGTATAATGCTCACTGATGCCATATGGACACAAGACACTCTTATCAGGCTTTGATACTCCTGAATGGAAAGCGCCATTTGAGTGCAAAGTGTTTGTTAAACTGCAGGATGCTTTCTGTATCTGGGAGAGTTTTATGTCCCTGTTTGAAACAAAAATGTGGCTATTACTAAGAAAGACATGCATTGAAATGCCCTCTCCCAATCTGTTCAGCTTTTACTCCTTTTGTCTTTGTTCTTGAGTGAGTGGTCTCTCCTCACTATCTTATACAGTATCTCTCTTAGGTCCCTTTTCAATCTGACTTTTTCCCTGCTTATTTCACCTTGAAAAAATCTGGCAGAGTTCTATGCAGTTCTGAAATATTCCTGTTTGTTTTTCCCCTTTCAGAGAATTTCACTTCAGACATCCTAAACGTGCAGTATCTTTAAGTATGAGAAGAAGTGGTGCTATGAAGAAAGGTGGCATTTTCTCTGCAGAGTTCCTTAAGATTTTCATTCCATCTCTGTTTATATCTCATGTATTGGCTTTGGGACTGGGGTAAGTACAAAGACTAATTTTAAACTTTGCATCTTTATTGTTTGCATACTTACTGAAGTTACTAATCCAAAATTACTAATCCAAGAAAGAGCACAATAAGAATGACCAGATTATTTTGACATGGTGCTGATACATCAAATATATTTGAAAACTAGGGAGAACTCCCTTTGTAGTGACACATTTATTTATTTGATTGTAGGATAAGTTTGAGATTGAATGTTTATGCATTCAGAATGCACAGATTGTCATGAAATCCATGACCTCAGTTGACTCTTAAAACCTATTGCAAATAACATTTGCAGTGTCCTGTTACATGACCTACTTGTTCATTTGCTCATTCCATTCAAATTCCTTAGACTATAGTGTAATAAAAGGAAAATAAGTACAAACTAAACATAAATATTATAGTCACTTTTCTTTTTTGCTGCAAGGAAAATCTGTGTGTTATCAATGTTCCAAACCCATGTGAATAGTACATTTTACTGCAAGCTCTCACTGATTCTGAGTGGCTAGCAGTACTTCAGTTGTATGACTGTACTGAAAGTAAGGGTTTGAAAGTAGAAACGGAAATATACACATAGCATTGTGTACCTGTCTTGCAACATTCACTACTGAATTTTTAAATAGCCCAGCAATTCTATTAGTATTTCTGTAATTAGAAGTGAAAGAGTTTTCTTATGATCTTACGTTTGCAGATATCTATCTCATGTCCTCTTCTGTCAGTACCAGAGAAATGTACGCTTAAAATACCACATTTTAGTTTTTATTTAACTTGTAATTCAATTATTTCTTGCAGAATTTTCACTCTGACCTTAACATATTCTTGAAAATGATTTTTTCCTTACCCTGGTTATTGGCTAAACTAGCCGGATAGATAATGTGAAAAGAAAATATTTATCTTGTAGCAAAAATGTATATATCTGTAATAAATTAAAGGTGTTACCTAGGTTTACTTGTTAGAGATCTGCCTTTTTGTAAGCTCATAACACTCAAAAGTTGTAAAGCGTGTGTTAATTTTTTTCTTTCTGTGTGGTTTAAATATTTTTTGTATGTATTTTGACTAGGATTTTCAAAGGCACCTCAGGGAATTGGCCTCCTCCTATTGAATTTCAGTGGGATTAGGGTGCCTGTATCCCTTGGGCTCTATTGGAAATCTCAACCTTTGTAGTTAGGTGTTTAGATGCAGACATTTGTATATAAGAGAAGGGGAGGTGTTATGGAAGAACATCACAAAATGGAAACTATCGACAAGGGCATGACTGTTGTGATGGGAACCACAAAATGGAAACTATCGACAAGGGCAGACTAGCACAGTGACGTGAACAAGGACTGTTGTGATGGGAATTGTTTCCATGAAATACAATGTTTTATGTTTGTTTCAGCATCTACATTGGAAAACGACTGACCACACCTTCAGCCAGCACTTATTGAAAGAAGCAGAGTACAAAACTTGGAAATCCATGTGACCTGTGAAGATGTTATAGTCACATTAGTACATTTGAACTTGATCATTTTAAGCATGACCCCAGTCCCACCCTTTATTTACATATCCAGGTTCCAGTAACTCTTGGAATTCAGTATTGTATTAGAACTCTGAGATGTTTGACTACCCACCTTCTCTCCCACCATTTGGCCTGCAAAACACATCAGTTGCCTAACGGACTTTACAATTGTCTATTCATTGCAAGGGCTTCTTTCAGTATAAAATTCCACCAGCAGATTATAATTTTATTAGTAATGCTGTTGCCTCCTCTAGTACAACCTGACTTAAATCTGCAACTGCTCATGGAATAAAAGTTGACTGTTTAACAATAGCTAATCTCTTCAAACGAAACTAAAATTTGGTTAGGATAAAAGCGAGTCTTTGTTTTTAGAAACCTGTTGGCTGTAAATCAAAGTAAAAAATCATTGGCAATAAAGAATAAATACATATTAAACCCAGCTTTATAGGGAATTTACTTATCCCCCTATTTTGCTCATAAATTTTACTTTGCAGGAGGCAAAGACTGCAAAAACATAAAGCAGGTTAATAACTTAAAGTCATCAGCGTAATTTAATACTAGATAATTGTCATAATCTTGTCTTTTTTATGAAGTAGGCTCCTTGTTTCTGCTAAGAAGATCTAATACCTACAAAACTTTAGAGGAATTGCTTTGTTTGCATGTGAAGAAGCAAACTTTTTCCTTACAGGAAAATTTTAAATGTAAAAGTTTTCCTTTATAAAAGCAGATTGAATGCAAATATTTTTGGTGTGTTTAGACTCCATGTAAAAAGGGGAATCTCCTGAAACCACCTACAGTAATAAAGTTGTGGTAGTTTCAGTAGCTACTCAAAGCATTTGACCTGCCTGTTGGGAACAATCTTGCAGTTGTGTAAAGAAGCATAAGTTGCAAATCTCTTAAATGTCTCCTTTAGAGAAGTTTTCAATATTCCCATTTCTCATTGTTTACTGTACAGTCTCCCTTTGGGAATAACATAGATTCTAAGGTCACTAGTGATGTCTCATGTAGCTAGATAGAATTCTCACTGGTGTTTAACTTTTATCTTTGGGAACACTTGTCTTGTCCTCCTTCAGTGACACCTTTTTTCAAAATGTGAAGCTTTAGTACCAAATTGTTATAAAGTATTAGGACCTAGCTCTGTCCTTAAATAGATTTTATTGGATTTCAAAACATGTAGCATGACTCTGAAGGATAGAATACTGTTTTTATACATGTATAAGTATAAATAAATATTATATAGACTTTAATACTAAATATTTAGGGAACCAATATTAATTTTAAAACTAGCAAAATCTCATGTAAATGGAATAGGCTGACAGAAGTTAAGAAAATCTGGTCAGTGAGTTTGAAAGAAACAGCTGTCTTACATTTTCTGCTTGCATCAGATAGTTTCTGATTTGGTATGGCAAAGATAGTTCAAGCTTGGAGGCTAATTCCTAGTTGAAGTTTTGCTTTAAAAAAGGCACCTGAGGAAGCAAAGAGCAAAGTATGACATCCATTTCTAAAATGTGTTCATCTTATTCTCCACTTCTCATAGCCTTTAGGAGAAAGTTTGTAGGTTTTTAAGACAAGTCCAGGGTGAAAGGGTAGTCAAGCCATTCTGTTTAGATTTTGTTTTTTCTTTTAATCTTGAATATTAGTAGCACTTGAATTATCTACAACCACGTATTTATTTCAAGCATGGGTACTGGGTTTCATCCAGACATGTGGAATTAAAAAGTGGTAAGGCTGTTATTAGTATGAATCGCCTTATTTTAGAGACCGAAATAAAATAGAAAGGTGAAAGAGGCTAGTATACTTTATTAGTACTAATTATAGCACCTTTTGTATGAAAATTGGAATAGTGGAAAAATATATTTATATTAAGTAAGGAATACCTTGATTTAAAAAAATCCACACCATCCATATTAGAGTGATTCATCTGCAGAACACTTGATGCATTAATGTGTTACAAGCTTGTGACTAGAGGATAAATACAGCTATGTCCTAATATTCCAAAAAGCTGTGAGATTAAAAATTGTTCCTGGAAAATATTACTGAAAACTGAATACCTGATCACTGTAGCACTTATCATACAATGATACAATGCAGTATTTATTGACACCCTAATATAAGCTTCGGATGGAAGTCTACAACTTTTAATTTTACAATGAACCGAAAAGATTGTTGTATAATTTGAAAAGGGGTTTCAGCTATTGATAGTTGAAGTTTTGTTAAGATAAATGTTGTTTAAAAGCTTTATACCTGTTTACAGTTTTGAAAAAAAATGCAGGCTTCATTTTTCTTATGTTTAGTGAAAACTGGCTTAAAATATTTGTAAATAGGATCAAGCAAAAATACACAAACTTGCACATTAAAAAAATGTGGCAAGCTAACTTAACTGTAGCAAGCACATACTCTGTTTTGAAAAGTAAAAACTTAAGACTCTGTTAGAAATTCACATTTTTAAAATGATCCAATTGTTGAAATTATTGACGTTAACTGAGCCAAAGTGATTATGCATCCTTCATATATTTAGTTAGCACTTTGTAATATTATATACAGTTTACAGTACATGTATAAGTTGTAGCTATAAACATTTTGTGCCATTAAAGCTCTGAGAAACCTGTGTGTAAGATCACTTTGTACCACATCCTTTTTTCTTCAGGGAAGATGAATAATTTTATGCCACTGCTTGTTTATGAAGTACAGTAGACTTCCGATAATCCAGCACCCTTGGGTCCCAGGGGGTGCCGGATTATTGGATATTTTGGAGTATCGGGAGGTACCCCAGCGGGGTGCTATGACAGGTCTGCCGGGACCCGCACTGCATGGGGCGGTCGGCGGGGAATGGCGCGGGGAGGGGCGAACCCCCCGCCGCTTTGCGGGGGGGGGGGTGAGCCGGCGTGCACGCGGGAGTGGCGGAGTGGGAGTGAGAGGCAAGTAGCTGTTTAAGGCGGGCAGGGGTTGGCGGGGAACGCTGCCTGCCTCTTGCCCCCTCTCCACCTCCGCCACCACTTACAAGCTGGTGGCTGAGTTTCCCCACTTGCAAGCCAGCTGCGCAGGGCTTCCACCGCCTCCCCGCAACACGGCAGAGGGTTCGCCCCTCGCCGCGCTGTTCCCCGCCGACACCCCCACCCGCCCACCTTAAACAGCTGCCTGCCTCTTCCCCCTCTCCACCGCTGCCTCTGGGCAGCTCCAATTGTGTGGCTGGCCGGAGCACTTCTGGATTCCAGTTGGTGCCGGACTATCAGGAGTGCCGGACCACTGGATGCCGGACACTTGGAGTTTTACTGTAATAGCTGTATCATGAGTTCAATGAACCAAGAAGTTTACTTCATTAGAGAGGGATCATTTTTACAGTTATAAATAGAATCAAGTTTTTATGCTGAAAAATAATTAAAATATGGCCTTTGTCAACAATGTTCCCTCTAATCTTTTCCATCCATCTGCAAATGTGCACCACCAGTAGAAAAAAAACCCTCACTTTGGGTTCTTTGTTAATCAGCTGGGTGGTATTTGAATCTTTTCTGAGCAGCTGTACAAGCACACAGCTTACAGGGAACACTGCTTGTCAGCTATATTCACTACTTCCATCCTCTCCCAGCACTTAGGTCTCCTATCCCTGTGGTGCTGAAAGTAAGAACAGTGTATTGTGCTTTTAAGCTCCATTGTCTCCTGAACTGTATTTCTAAGATCCTCCTAATTCAATCATAAATGCAATTTTAAGAGTTGTGGCTATTCCTTGTTCTAAGTCTGTAGAACTATGACGTTTTACATCAGCTAAGTGTCTGCCTTTACATAATCTTATTACTTACCTTTAGGGTGTCAAAGTATTGGAGAAGTTGAAAAGTGTGTGTGTTTACCTACATACGTTTTAATAGCAGTTTTTGTGGCCCATTTATTTCCTACCTGATTTTTTTCTTGTTTAATGCAAAATTTCTTTTAAAAGTTTAAGAAATAAAACAACTTTTCAAAAGCACCTAATTCACTGAAATGCCCCCCAAAATTTATTTTCAAAAGTACTTACGATTTGACTTCTAGTAATACTTAGGCTCTGAAGTGCTTAAGCCCCCTTTGAAAATGGGACTTGAGCATCTGAGATTTTAGGTGCTTTTGAAAATTATAGGCAACATCTTGAAACTCTTTCTTTGAGTGCCTTATTAGAGCAGAGAGATTATAAGTAGCCCGTTAAGGTAAAGTTACATAATTACTGTGCCATGATTGAGAAAAATACACAGTATTTATCTGTCTCGGATCCTTTTCACCAGTCATAGTACAGGATCTGTCGAAGTAAGAAAATGTAATAACATTTGATAGACCAGGATTGCTTTTGCTCTGACAATGTGCTTTAAGTAGCAATCAGAATAAGTTGCAGAGGGCTATTAGTCCCCCAGTTCAGCTGGGCTACTAAGACTCTGAATAATTCAGAGTTGTTCTTTCTAAGAGCTGTCCGGTTCATGTAAAAAGGACTTGTGTGTGTTAATGAGGCTGACCCTGGAAAAGTTTTAATCAAACATTTCATTAGAACAGCTTGATGGCTCTGTTTGTAGTTATGTGCCTTCAGTGCACATACTTTGTGTCATGTCAGAATTGGAAAACACAAAAATAAGCTGAATCTTCAGTAAATTTTCCTTCTGTGGAAGTTCCAAGTGGATTTGAAATTGCAAATAAAATTCTTTATTTACAGAGCTGTCCCATAACTGTATTCCTGTGCAGTCTAACAAAGTTGGCTTATTTTAATGATGGGGGAGTGTATACCCAAGATGCAATTTTCAAGTGCAATTTAAGGCTGAAGATATTGAAGTATCCAAATACTAGCTAGTCATTTGTTTTACGTTGTAGGTTATGAACTGTGGATTTCGTTGCTGGTGTAGATTTGTTTTAAAGGCTTTCAATCAGAACAAGCATCTGGATTGTGCAATTGGGGTGTGAGAACCAGTGGTTCACAGCCTTTTTTTTTTGGCAAACCCATTCACAAACTTTTGGTGGACTGGAAACATTTTATTTGCATATTTGCTGGGAGAAGATGCCGTCCCTGCCCAGCGCTTGTTGGCTGAAAGGCAGGGCAGGACACGCCTTTCCCAAGAGCTGCGGCAGGAGGGGAGGTGCTAGGCACTCTTTTCCAGCCCCAGTCCGCAGTGGTTTGCTGCCTGGCACCGGTCCACAAACATGCAGTTGGGAATCACTGGCCTACACCATCATGTCTAGTATTTTGGCTTATTTTTAATTATTTGGATAAGCTTAAAAACAAACAGTTTCCACCATTGCATTTAGAATGTGAGAGTTTGAGAGGTAAAATCCCCCTAGTTGAAGTTCAGACGCTTCATATCTAAGCCCTGGTTGGAACTAGGGAATTATTTCAGAATAACTCCTTCTTTCGAAATAACAAGCGGAGCGTCCACACTACGACACCTGTTATTTTGAAATAATTCCTGCTTTCCACGAGGAATAACCCTTAGCAGTACTGTGGATGCACCACTGCTATTTCAAAATAACTACTCCCTAGAATCATTCAAAGTAATTACTCTCCAGTGCTTCCTGGGGCTCTAAGTTGAGATAGCTGTGAAGGCTAGAACTATAACAGAGTTTAAAGAGAAGCTAGATAAATTCATGAAGGGTCGGTCCATAAAAAGCTATTAGCTAGGGGGTAGGAATGGTGTCCCTGGCCTCTGTCTGTCAGAGGCTAAAGATGGATGGCACGAGACAAATCGCTTGATCATTGTCTTTGGTCCACCTCCTCTGGGCCGCTGTCGGCAGACAGGCTACTGGCTATATGGACCTTTGGTCTGACCCAGTACGGCCGTTCTTATGTTCTTATAGCGCATCCACATTAAGGGAACCTGCCTTGGACTAATTTTGAGGCTTCCCTGTAGTGTGGACATGCTATTTTGAAACAGTTATTTTGGGAGTTATTTAAAAATAAATTATTTTGAAATAATTTCCTAGTGTAGACATACCCTAGATGATGTTATCTTTGTCAGCAGGAGTTTTGCCTTCAATGGGGCAAGTATTTCTCCCCAAGTATTTTAAGCAATGGAGGATTTCAGGGGGACTGCTCATGTATTTAGTAAATTGTTTGCTTAAGTTCTTTGCTGAATTGGGGCATTGAAGAGGATATAAAATGACAAGTTTTCATTTACTTGCTCTGGTATTATGCTGCATGCTTCATGATTCCCTGATTCTTTCCACTTGCCTATATAGATGTGAGATTTAAAAATGAACCTACAGCCTTAATGAGGCACTTCAAAATCCCATCTTGGGTATGTACAGCAGCTGTCCATTAGAAAAAGATACAGCTAAATTTACTTCTGGTAGATCTCTATCCTGCACTGCACACTGACTCAAGAGCAGCCAGCTTCTCCTTGCAGCTCTAAAGTGTGATTACTCTTGATGTTCAGTGGAGGGGGAGGTTGTCCATTAAGCAAGGTAAACATAACTCTTTAACTTCGAAGAGCAACCAGAGGCATGACCAGCATGGA